AAGAGGTCTTTTGCAGCAGATGTGCCCAGTGCAATATGTCTTCTGATTTCTTGACTAATGCTTCCATGGATGTTGCTTGAATAATTTCTTTTAGAAGGATCGGCACAAGGCTGGTTGGTCCCTATGAGGCAGAGGTGAAAGATGTCCCAAATGTTCAACTTTTCCAAAGTGCTATACCACTCTATCATCTCTAACATCAACTCCTTCTCCTCCTCCCCTCAGTATTCTCCCTCCTGTCTTAGGGTTCCGTATTTCTCTATAATGTCTCACAGAACTCACAAGCTGCCAAGGAAATGGCTCACATGGTGGTGGAGGCTGGGAGGGTAGCAAGTTCCAAATCCATGGGTAATTCTTGAGGATTCTCCTCAGTCATGTGGTTGCAGGGACTAGTAAACCCAAATTGGTGGGTCAGATAAATGGCTGCTGTCTCAAGTCCATGGGTGAGATGGTGAACCAAACACAGGACTGGAGCAAGAAAGCAAACTTTCCCAGAACTAACAAATACATACCCTAGAGGAAACTAAGGATGGTGATTTGAGTCACCCTCTCCAGTAAGCAGGACTAAAGATACATCCCATCCTAAACAGGCATAGAAACTAGAATTTACAATATATCATAAAATGGAGGACTATGCTTGAAGGGCCATATTATGCAATTCACTGCACTGCAGGCATTGATTGTGGATACAAGTAAAATGAAATCCATGACAATTTCAATCTTTTCTCCATTTATCATGATGTTGCTTATTGGTCCAGTTGTGAATTTTTGTTTTATTTATGTTGCGGTTATCTATACTGAAGGTTATAGTCTTTGATCTTCATCAGTAAGTGCTTCACGTCTTCACTTTTAGCAAGCAAGGTTATGTCATCTGCATATTGCAGGTTGTTAATGACTCTTCCTCCAATCTCTGTTCTCCAAGAAGAAGCATTCTTCTTCATATAGTTCAGCTTCTCGGATTACTTGTTCAGCGTATGGGTTGAATAAATATGGTGAAAGATACAACCCTGATGCATACCTTTCCTGATTTAAAATTACCCATAATTCCCTTATCCTAGTTAAATGACTGCCTGTCTATGAACAGTTTCCTCACAAGCGCAAGTAAGTGTTCGGGAATTCCAGTTCTTCACAATGTTATCCATATTTTGTTATGATTCACATAGTCAAATGCCTTTGCATAGTCAATAAAACACAGGTAACCATCTTTGTGGTATTCTTTGCTTTCAGCCAAGATCCATCTGACATCAGTAATGACATCCCTTATTTCACACCCTCTTCTGAATCCAACTTGAATTTCTGGCAGTTCCCTGTCAACGTACTGGTGCAACCCTTTTTGAATTATCTTCAGCAAAATTTTATTTGTATGTGATATTAATGATATTGTTACATTATTTCTGCATTCTACTGGATCATCTTTCTTTGGGATGGGCATAAATATGGTTCTCTTCCAATCATTTGGTCAGGTAGCTGTCTTCTACATTTCTTGACATAAACTACTGAGCACCACCAGGGCTGCATCTGTTTGTGAAACATTTTAATGGGTACTCTGGCAATTCTGGAGCCATCAGAGAGATGAAAATAAGAGAGAGAGAGAGAGAGAGAGAGAGAGAGAGAGAGAGAAGAGTGAAGAAAATCAAAGACACAAGGAACCAATATAGCACATCCATGTTCAAAGCAGCATTATTCACAGTAACAAAAAGATGGAAGCAATCTAAGTGCCCAATCACACAAGGAAACAATGGACCACATGAATCCTAACTTACACAACCCTGAGACCAGAAGAACTAGATGGTGCCTGACTACCACTGCTGACTGCTCTAAAAGGGATCACAGTAGGAGGTCCTGGATAGAGTGGAAGAAAAATGTGGAACAAAACTAAGTGATAAAAAGAATAAAATAAAATAAAAAGAGAGCGAGAGAGAGAGATGATATCTCATTCAAGCATTAATAGCAAAATTCGAAAAAACAGAAACCAACAAATGCTTGTGAGGGTGTGGATAGACTAGAAGCCTCATACACTGTTCGTGGGATTGTAAAATGATGCAACCACTGTGCAAAGTGGTATGGCACTTACTTAAGAAGTTGGAAATAGAAATACTATCCGATACAGCAATCCTACTAGGTATGTATCCTAGAGAAATAAAAGCCATGACAAGAACCAATATAGCACACCCATGTTCAAAGCAGCATTATTCACAGTAACAAAAAGATGGAAGCAATCTAAGTGCCCATCAACAGATGAATGGATAAACAAACTATGGTACATACACACAATGGAACATTAGACAATGTTAAAGAATAAAGACGAATCTGCAAAATACCTCATAACATGGATGAACCTAGAGGACATTATGCTGAGTGAAATTAGTCAATCACAAAAGGACAAATATTGTATGAGAGCACTACTGTAAAAAGTTAAGAAAAGTTTGACACATAGAAAGAATCACTATTTGAAGGTTATCAAGGATAAGGGAGGGTAAATCAGTATCTAGAGGGTAGACACCTACTAACTTGGGTGAAGAGAAAGGCAATCTACAGTAAAAGGGAGGTCAGCACAAAATGATCCAGGCAGTGGAAGACATAGGGAGGAGCACAAGAGCTAAAGGCAAGAGAGGTGGATTACATAATCCTGCAACAACAATAATAACAATAATCTAAAGGGGGATACATAGATAGACACTCAAGCTGAACAGGGATGGAAAGGCAAGGAGGACACCTACACCCACAAATATATATAGGTTTGATAGAGGATATTTCTACCAATGTATTTATATGTGCTACAAATATATCCAGGAATGGACATACAGGGGACAAAGTTATGCAAACTTCTTAGTCATAACCAAACACCTTGAGGACATGAGTCACTGGGGGCTCAGGACCATAGTCTCAGGGACAGTAAGGTTAAATGGTATAACATAGTCTACAAAGACAATGTTCTACATTCTAGTTTGCTGAGTAATGACTGTTGTTGTTGTTGTTGTTATATGCCGTCGAGTCGGCCCCGACTCATAGCGACCCCTCCTTGGGTTTCCGAGGCAGTATCACTACGGAAGTAGGATTGCCC